ATACGCGCTTCCTCAAATCGTACACGCACATACACACACATTCATTCATACACACCATAGCCGATTAATGCGTCTTAAGCATACTTCATTTAGTTCAACATGACGTAAAAAGTACCACTACGAAGATGAGCTCGTGCTGAACAATGTATTATCACCGAAGAAGCCTGTAGAAACTCGCCGATTTGTACAGAATCGCGAAGCAGCACTTAACTACCCAGATAGCCAAACCTGCAGAAACAGATTTTGCACAGTATCTGCTATAAAGTTTGTCGGCAGTTTGTAAGCAAAAATACAACAGGATCTGTCGTTTCGTCACCATTTAAATCTATTGAGCCCTCCGTTAGTCGCAGAATTTTTCATCCATGAATGGCCGCAATATATCTCACAGATATACTAATTTTCCCACTTATTTTCCTTTGCTTCTCAAAACAATTTTTCTGTTTTTAGTACTTGGCTAGACCAGACATAAAAATATATAAAAAAAAACAGTAGTGTAACGTCTCGAATCTGGCCTCATTGCCTTGAGATCAGATAACAACGGCTATTGTAGCCTGAACGTATTGGATACACTTGCGACTAGTGAAAAGTTAAATGGAGATCCTGCTCGGTTTCTGTCGCCAATCAAGTTATGTCAGCAGGCCCTGTCAATAGAACACGAGCTCAATGCGGACGCAGATCGGCTAAGGATCTGTTACAGTATTTAAATCTGCTGCGCCAACTTGCCGGCATACTGTTAACACTTGGCTCACTGGGTATAAACAGGTCGGATATAAGAAAAGGCCGCGGACGATACGTCACAATATCGGAGGAAGTACGAAATCGGCCGTGGCCCATTCCTAGCCGGGCAATAATATAGTGACCGTGCCCAGAGAAGAAGACGTGTCGTCTTGCTGCAGCAACTCGTGTTCCTGCTGCAGCAACTCGTGCTCCTGCTGCAGCAACTCGTGCTCCTGTTGCGGCTGCTGTTGTTCCTGCTGCTGCTGCTGCTCCATCTGCTGCCGCGCGTTCTGCTTCGCGTGGGTCTTAAGATGCGAGTTCAGCATGGTCTTCGAAGCGAAGGACTTCTGGCAGCAAGTGCAGGGGTAAGGCCGATCACCGGTGTGGCCGCGCAAGTGCACCACCAGCGTGGTCCGCTGCGTGAACCTCTTGTCGCAGTGAGTGCATTGATGCGGCTTCTCGCCGGTGTGCGTGCGACGGTGCACGCTCAGATAGTTCTGCGAGATGAAGCCCTTGCCGCAGAGGTCGCACACATGCGGCTTTTCGCCAGTGTGCTTGCGCAGGTGCACCGTAAGGTAGGTCTTGCTGGAGACCGCCTTGCTGCATACCGGGCACACGTATTCGTTCTGCGGGCCGACGTTGCCGTGGGTCTTCATATGCACCAGCAGCACTTGCCGCCTGGAAAAACGCTTGTTGCACAGCTCGCAGCGGTGCTTCTTCTGCGGCGGCACGTAATCCGGCTGGTGGAGCTTCGCGTGCAGCCGCAGACCCTGATGGTAGCGAAAGGTTGCGTTGCACACGTCGCATTGGAAGGGCTTATCGCGCTCGTGTGACAGCTGATGCTCTTGGCTGCTGCTCTTGCTGTCGAAGAGCTCGCCGCACACCTCACACTGGTATTTGAAGCCGAGGGCTGGGCTGTGGCAGTTCTGATGGTCGGCCAGGCTTTCGCTGCACGTGGTTTTGTAGTTGCAGCTCTCGCAGGCGTGCCATGTCTCGGAGACATCGTGCTCCTCCTGCTGGTGTTCCCGTTGGTGCTCCTGCAGCTTCGCGCTCGTCAATAAGCTACAGCCACATTGCTCGCAGACTAATCGGTCGTCCTGCGACCGCTCCGCGCTCTCCGAGTGTACGGTCTCTAAGTGCGCGCTTAACGACCGCTCGGACATGAAACCGTAGCCGCAGAATTCACACTGCACGACTATCTGGTTGCTTTTGCACTCGAGCGGATCCGTCAGCTCCGTTTTTGGCAATTGCAACGAATCGGCCGATAACGGTAGTAATCGCGCGTTTCCCTGAATAAAGACGTGCTTGATCTCGCCGACGGGCTCGCCCTGCCGCCGCTCCCCGCCCAGTGTGGTGAGCTTTGACACAAAATATCTGCAAAGAAGAGAGACACAAATGGGAGTCAATCAGAGTGTACACCTTCTGCCGCCTGCTTTCTGTGCTTTCGTTCTCTTAACGCTGCCTCATATGGGCTTTTTACGGGTAAGCGAGAGAGGGGGAGAAAAAGAGATATTTACAGGGACGAGAGATCGGTTGGACGCGGCTCGACGCTCATGCGCAAGGTGTGTGTGTATATATGTGTGCATGGAAAAGGTCAATAAAGCGCCTTACTTTTGATTTCCAGCATATTTCTCTTTATTACGTAGTCACCACTTCGTCTCAACCCCGCTCGTCCGTCGCCGGTGTCTCGTCGCGCTCGAACAATGTTTACTCGCAAACGAACACCGCGCGCGGTCCTCCTCCTCCTCCTTCTCTTCGCTAATTGCACTAATCGCGCATTAACTCATTCGCGTGAAGAGCTTTGCACATAATCTCCGACTACAGTTAATTTATATAGTTTCTACGTCGGCGCGCTTAACGCTAATAGGTTTCTCATGTTTCCTCGTTCAGCTGATCAGTAAGTTTCGAGCATCTCGACAGTTTAATAGCCAATGCTCGCACTATAAAGTATAGGTTTCTAAGTGCACAATATTTTATTTATACTGAGAAGAAGAATATCTAAGAAAAAATATTTATTCGGTGAGTGATAATAATATATATATACTTATACTAATATTGTTACATACTAATATTGTACATGTTTTTACGCTGAGAAAAACGTTCATTTTTAAGTGAGAAAATATATATTTTCTTAAATCTGTAGCTCTTTGTGAAATCAATTGTTTATCCTATTGAAGTAAAAGAATTTAGAGAAATTTAATATATGTTATATATATTTGTGATTATATAATATGTTACATATTATATAATTGTATATATATGCTATTATTACTCAAGCAAAGCTGCACAAACAGATTTTGAGCAGAGCCTGCTACAAGTTTTTGATGTCAGGAGGGCAATAAATCCAACACAGACTGAATGCGGACGCAGTTGATGCCAGTCGGCTGATTTGATAAAATCTGTTGCGTCTGCCGACTTACTGCTAACATTTTGCATGCGGGGTATATTATAGTATTTCCCGAATAAATGTTTTATTCCTTAGATATTTTTTCTCTCAGTGTGTACTAATGATACGTGAGGGGTGTTCCATCACTCTTATGAGATTCGGCCATGGATGCTACAAGAAATTTTAGTTTAATCCTCTTATGAAAAAATTTCCATTTGTTGCAACTTTGCCATCTTGGGCATTGAGTATCCTCAGTAAGAACCAAGTGTAGCGCAAATTAAAACTATGTGAATAAATGTCGCTCACTTGTCTTAAATCGAACTTTACCAGAACTCTTCGATTCTCAAATAATTCAGTCAAAATTTACTGCTGCAACGATATTTAGTAATCCACTGCGTGTCTCAGTTCAACTCCCAGTATCTATGGTCGAAGAAACATACCCCGTTTTACGCGGATCCTATAAATACAGCTTTATTATTCCTTCACGTGCGCGCGATTCTTACCATATATTCTATATCATTTTACTGTATTACAATTCTATACATAAACAAGATTAACATGCACTGCATTCCTACACACATTACTTGCATTTCATTAAAATTTCTCTTTCCTTTGAGCTTTTACGAAAGGACACAGAATTGGCTCAACTTTAACGTTAATGATTCTGTAATATATAAACAATTTGTGTTCATTGAACGCGTGTCTTGAGAAGAAATTAGAAACTATTATTGATGTGAAATAACCGTGACAATTCTAAGCGTATCAAATTTAAGAATTACAGCAAATTATTTCTGCCGATATGTAAAGTATATTTTTTATATAAAATTGTCTCTGTATCTCTATAAAATATTAGAATTATATTATTGAAGAATATTGAGTTTGAATGATAATTTCATCGTGGGCAAAGCGGTGCAAGTATTATCGACGTGTACTCCTTACCGACAATATTCTTATTCCTTACATAGGTCTTATAAAAAAATTAATAAGATATGAATTTATCAATTTAAAATATTTTTGGAAAGAATGTATTTTCCAAATTTTCCTATATCTTATTCCCCAAATCATTCATGCAAAAAAACAAATAAGGTTTATTTCCGAATTAAATGCAGGATTCACAATTTCCTCATGGAAAATCTAATAATATATAAAAATAAAAGTCTGACCACAGTCGGATGGTTCTTACCTTTCTAAGTAGAGATATAGTTTTCTCTAATTAAATTATTAGTCGTTGCACTACATATAATCATTACAATATTTAGTAAATACATAGTATTGTAATTATTGCAGGTAAACATGCGTATCACATTCAAAACAAATTATCTTAACATGATCAACAATAGCTTCTTTTTTGTGTAGAATTAAAAATTCTGTAGAGTATTAATCGAAAATTCTATTAATATTATATATCTTACCTTTCAGTGTGAGTACTTCAGTAACTATATGTACAGTTTTGCAGAAAAAAAGAGATGTAAGATTTAAATATTAGAATATAGATAAAAACGCATCTGTAGAAATGTAATTTACGATGTCGCATCGGCAAGAAAAAATAAATATTTGCAAGCGATAAAATTGAGAATTATCAGCAAAATATTATTAAATATCGCTACTTATATTTTATCCACAGAGATATCGATTCAAGATATCGAATCATAATTTCTACGACCAACTCTAAATATAAATAATTACGCGTCTTGATATACTTACATTTCACATTTATTATGCGTTTTTTACCCTGTCTTTCATTATTTATCAATTAGAGGCACCTGAATGTAGTTTTACGCTGAAATTAGTTGCTGAATTTATGTATTAACGATTCATCGACGTAATCGATTAACATAATCAAAGATTTAATCTTATACGCGCAGTACAAAAATAATGATCAGCTTATTTATCCGCGTATATATTATTATACGTTGAATATTTTCATTTCAAATCTGCTCAAAATAAATAAAAAAATTTAGATAATTTGCGGTGTTTAGGCACTTTTTTTACGTAATCGTTTTACACAGGTACTAATTTCTTTTGTTAAAAACTGAATTACGCTAAATTAGCTTTCATCCGGAACAATCGAAAGCTCCGTCATGCGTATAATAATATTAACATTACCGTCTAAATATCTTGTATAATGTACAAACAATATCACAGTGATGAGACGACATTTATGATTATAGAGTAGGATTATTAGCTTATTTTTGTCGTGACTCTGATTCTCTACCGTTAAAAATATCCAATCGTTAAATATACTTTATCTGAAACTATACGATGTTTAGATATTATCACGTGAAATATCTTCATAAAAAAATTAACTTACAAGCTTTAATTTGCTCGTTTATATATCGTACCGATATTTATTATTTATTACTATACCGCGTTAGTTAATTCGAATAATTTTAGGCACTTCGATACATCAATGTACTCTACAATTCATATGACATCCTTATGAAAACGATCACTTCCGAATAGAAGGTAACGGAATGTTTCACGAAAACGCGTTTAAACCAGCGATACTGACTCGCTCGTTAAAAACCATTGTACGAAAGATCTTTCACGTCGGACATACTTCGATTAAATTAAGATCAATCAAGTTTCCCGATATCGTTCCTCCCGGTGAACGCGAATAAAAAATTCGACACATAATCCGAAACTGAATCATCCCAATATCTCTCCCCGAATGACCGTCGCGAGTTCTAATCGCGAGCGACGAAAACTTTTCTGTACCCCGCCGATCGATCGAGGTTGCCTCAATGCTTCTTCATGTGATTAAGCATGATCGTTCGCGTGACGAATCCCTTCCCGCAAAACGTACACGTGTACGGACGCTCGCCCGTATGGTACCGGCGGTGCACGGTGAGCGTCGACGCCTGGGTGAACGACTTGCCGCACATGGCACAGAGGTATGGCCTCTCGCCGGTGTGGATGCGCTGATGCACCACGTAATACTTGCGATGAGTGAAGCCCTTGCCGCAGACGTTGCACACCAGCGGTCTGGGTCTGTGCACCAACTTATGCGTAGTCAATGACTCAGCGGTGGTGAACTGCTTGGAGCACGAATCGCAGGGATAAGAGGTCATGGACTTGGCGGGCATGATGGGGCCGCCGCCGAGGTTGGCGGTGGTGACAACCGGATCGACGACGGACGGCGGCACCAACGTGTTCGGGCCGCCGACCACCATCCGATTGTTGTCGGTGCCGACGATCGTCGTGATCGGCCGGTGGGTTTTCGCGTGGTGATTGTACAGATTGCGCGTCTCGAAGCGCATCAGGCACCTGGGGCAGGAGTAGAGTTTTTCCGGATCGACGTCGTGCATCCGCCGGTGGCGCTCCAGCAGCGTGCGATAGCGGAAGGTCGCCCGGCAGAGATCGCAGGAGAACAATTTGTCCATGTTACCACCACCACCACCACCACCACCACCACTACTACCACCACCGCCACCACCACCTCCTCCTCCTCCCCCACTGCCGCCACCACCGCCGCCTCCACCACCTCCACCGCCGCCGTCGGGCGGCACGAGGCTCGCGGAGGTCGACGAGCACGAGGTCACGGACGCGGCGCTGTGCGTGAGCTCGTGCAGCTTGAAATGGCTCAGAGAGACGAAGCTACGCGAGCAAACGGCGCACGAGTATCGCGGCTGGTTCTCGATGTTGTGTTGTTCGTACTCCAGACGCACCGGATGGCTCGTACGCATGTGATAGTTTAGCTTAAGGACGCTGCGGAACTCCAGGCCGCAGGTGGGACACGGGTAGGACTCCGCGAGAATTTGTATCTGGTCGAGCAGTAGTGACTGCTCCGGGCATATGGACTGAAAGTGCGGGGGGATGGTGTTGAGTAATGTCGACGATAGCATCGACGATTGGTTCGTGTATATGGAGTTGGTCTGTAGAAGATTACAATTGACGGAGGACATGCCGACACCGGGCTCCCCGGTCTCGGGCGAGGGCGAGAGGATCTGGCGCAGCATCCCCGACAATCCGCCGAAGGTCTCGCCTGCTTCCCTGAAATCGACAAAACCCAAGAACATTGCAACGGAGAACGACCCGTGAGCGCACACACACAGCTTTTGCCTTGTTCTTTTGTTCTTTTGGTGATTTCACGATGTTCTTGTGTACAGGCAGTGATTAGAGAGAAAAATAGAAGAAAAAAAGAGAATTAGAGAGAGAGAGAGAGAGAGAGAGAGAGAGAGAGAGAGAGAGAGAGAGAGAGAGAGATCTTAATGCTCATGTGATTGCTGCAAGGTGGCCGTGCAAGGTGCTTGGGCATTGCTGACATCCCTCGAGACGCAGCAATAATTAACGTGTCGTTTACAAGAGTGTATTAGTGCGTATCGAGCTATAGAGAAAGTCGTCGTGATTGTCGTCAAGTCAAGCAGCATCGAGAAAATTTCATCACCCGCTGTCGTTCGAACGATATATCCATTAAGCTTTCTGGACTTGTGAGTCTTACATAACAATCAAACGTACTCTATCAGAGATGGATAATCTATGACTATATACACGTAATCCTTCTAAACCTATCTGTATTGTCTTTGTATGCGTTAGTAAATAATATTAGCACACCCCTTGAATATCACAAAAATTGTTAGGAACAGTGTATATGCACACACAGAAATGTAAGTCGGAAATTCCCTAACGAAATAGCAGGAGGGAAAAGTAAAGATCAAGCCATAAAACTTGGCAAAAGAGTTTGAGAAAAGCAAACTTTTACTCAAAAAATCACTCTATTTACTGAAATAGAAAATGTTAAAACGCAAATTATAAGTCGGTTATATATATATATATATATGTATATGTATATATATATATATATATATATATATAAATCTCACCTTTATAAACAATCCGTTACGTTGAGACGCTTCTTCTTCTCATTCGCATATTGCAAAACGGAGCACGGTTTCTTGTTTCCATGTTATATTTAACACACACAATGGTGTTCAACGTATACATGTCGCAGATGGTACATCTACGCGAAGTATATTACACCAGAGAGAAACAAAAGAATGCAGTCGAAAACTGCAAAAAAAACGGGGAAAATCGGAAATATCATTCAGTGTTTCACAGCGAAAAAAAGTGACAAACCGTAAAAGCCTGATGCGGCAAAAGCACAAAAAGTGCTCTGCAGGCTTTCACATGTCAAACGTCAGCTGCATTTGAGACTGAATAGAACGATTTTCCTCATTCAAAAATGTTGAGAAATTCACCCATCACACAATACAGTGTAGCTTTAAAAAAAATGTATCAAACGTTTCAGTACATACGTAACATTGCAGCCGATTCAAGGCGCAAAAAATACTCAATAAAATAACAATCACATAAAATCACGTTGCGAAAACAAAACCGGCGCAGCTATACAGCGCAAGCCTGATTTTGTTCGTTAGAAAAAAAACAAATATATATATCCTCCGCATGTGTCACGCGGTAGATCTTCTCTGCACTCAGATGGAAGCTCGCGAAATGACACGTGCGACCAAACAATGTGCATGGGAAGGTCCATTATTTAGTAACAAACACGCCGTGCCGAGATACGCAAAGCAGCGTCTGCTCGACATGAAAAGGCAAATCGCTTGAAAGCTCATCGCGGAGATAAAACAACACGAATTCGCACGTACCGACCGTATTGTCGGTATAAAAGTGCGTAATATTTTCGTGAGTAAATATGCATGTCGCGTATGTAGTAAAAAATATAGTTTATACAGATCGAGACAGAGTATCTAGAACATATACGTAAAAAAAATGATACTCGCCTTTGTGTTCAGAATGCAAACAGTGTCCTCTTGACTCAGCTGTCTCTCAACGGATGATGATATTTTCGTACATTTTCCAGCGAATCTTCGAGTTGGAGGAAACACGAATCCTTGATCTTCTTCGGCATCGAGATTAATTCTTAACCGGATTTCTTCACCGTTACAGATCACCAACGAACGCGAGCGCGCGTACGCACTCGCACGTGTTACTTTATTATCCGATGATCGCACCGGACGCGCGAAATTGTCTAACAATCTCGGTGGTATATATGCGTATTCGTACGTCAGTTGAACGGTAATTCTTAAAATTAGCGTCGCAACACTAACATTAACAGTACAGAGTCCTGGCGATATCGTAAAGCGCAGGCATCGGAAAGCACGAATATATAAACGAGAAATGATAAGTATATTCGTTGCATCAAATTGAAGTATCTATCGTCTGTGATTTTTGGATCGGCCGAATATCGGTCATGTGCGGCATTTAGTGCCATCACGTAAGCGTGGGAATATTAATATCGACAACATGTAAACATTTGATTTCTGTGTGGACAGAGAGATCGAGCTGGTGGCACGCACATGCGTCGTTGACCGTCGAATAACACGTGTACGAGTATTTTCTTTCTTACATATATACGTAACGCATTGTGGATAACCCAGAGAAATCCCTCTATCCATTTTATTGCACATATGCACATATATATATATATATATATATATATATATATATATAAGTAATATTTAACACAGAGTCCATTTCGAAGAAAATGATAGAAATATCGCTGGATATTTGTGATTCTAAAATGAGAGAACGTCGTCACGTTCATCATACAAATTGCAAATGGCAATTCTACTTCGTCGAAATGTACCCTATGTACATGCTATCACATGTAAAGATTAGGTGCTTAGCAATTTGCGTTTCGGCCTCAGAAATTGTATGGCGTATGCTTCTCGTTTAGGTAATAAATTGTAGAATTATACTCGAAGTACGCAAATACCATGTTGGAGATATATTTACATAAATTGCTAAACACCTTAGGGCCAAAGATGGTTGTGGGGTGTGTTCGAACTTACCTTGTGTTTACAAGCCCCTTACTTTCACAATGATCAACGCTCGAGCGTGATCGCATTACACATCTCTTAATTTGCAATGCAAAGCAAAACCTGCTTTATATTCTTCTGCTTTTTTATTGTTCCGCGTTATGCACGATAACATCTTTAACTTCGATACCGACTTCGAGTACGAGGAAACAATGACGTACAATTATGAGCACTTTAAAATAGTGCACGATATTCTCAGACATGAGATATTGATTTCTTTAAAAATAGACACGCTATGACGCTGTCGATAACTTCCACTCGTATATATCCGAAACAGCTTTTTTCACAACAGCTTGTTGAAATAATATCTCGTCAAATGTGTACGTCGTTAATATACAAAATATTTATATCGCCACGAATCATTGATTTCATTCTTGTAATTAATACGATTTTTCATTCGACTTTTATTAGACGAGAAACAAAGTTAGAATAATATTGCAATAATGATAAATGAATAAGATTAACACAATGTCTCATGTGGGTCATTGTTCATGTTCGCCACAACAAATGACACCTTTGGCCCTGAAACAATGAAATAAAAACAGAAAACTCACCCAGTTTTCGGATCCACGTCCGTTGCCTGTGTCATCTCCTGTATGTCAGACATTTTCTGCTGCTGAAGTCCAGAAGGGCCTGGGTCTTCGCACGCCAAAGAGACATTTACAAATGTTGTAGGCTCGATAGTTCTACTGTTATTAGGGTCCTCTTCGCTTTCTTCCTTGATAGGTAGGCCTGAAACAATTCGGAAATCCCTTTTCTACTCCAAACTTCGAAGAAACAAGTCATGCATCATATGCATGAGCTGGATTATGATAAGCCAGATGTATAAATACATACCATCGTCTCCATCACATTCGTCATCCGAGTTTTCTTCGTCTTCACTGCTCTCCTCTTCTTCTTCTTGTTGCGTGGGTGCGTTCGTTTGATTTTGTGTAATTTGGTCATGTGTCGTTTGTGTACTCGATCCAGCCACTACCTGGACATTTTGCACAGAGCTACCACTGGTGTCCATAGGAACTGAGGTTATTTGTTGTTGGTTGTTATTGGGTATCATCATCGGCATACACACGCCTATATTGTCCATACCCATGTTCATACTACTCTGATGCCCACTCACTTGCTGCATCACACTACCATCTAACCTGTTCTCGTTGCTCTGTTCTCCTTTCATTCCACTCTGAAATTTCATAAAAAAAAACAAAATATAATTAATCTCTATACTTACTAAGTTAAATGTTACAAATACAAATTCAAGTAGTGCACAACATATTAATATTTTCATTATTTTATCCAAACTAAAACGATATGAATGTTTTTCATTGTATACATATTGTATAATAACTAATAACTGAGTGATGCCTGATACTTCATATAAAAAATCGAAATATACAAAGATATATAATGTGGTAATCTAAAAATTTATGAAATAGCTTACAAAAAATGTATAACGTGTAAAATATTTAGATTACTGGTTAGGTTAAGATCATGGCGATGATAAACATGAACAAGTGAAGAATCAAACATAGGAATATCTACACGGTTACATAAGGCATGTATTTTTCAAGAAGGCAGTAAACAAGTAAATTATGCGTAATTACCTGGTTGAGAACAGTAGCAACAGCATAACCCTGTTTGTCTACATTTTCTAGCCATTGTTGCAATTGTTTGTCTACGTTTAATGTCTGATTCCAAAATTCAAAGAATAATTCTACTTTATACACACACTCCTCACATATCTTTTGAGGTAATTTATCTTCTCTGGCGATCTAAAATCATAATAAAACAAATTATGTAATTTTCAAGTATATATAGATGCATATATTTATGCGTGTGTAAGCAATTTAACTACGCACATATTTAATAATATGTTAAATTGTTTTATACACACAATAAAAAATGATATTTTATCAGAAATATCTGACTGAAGATGATCTTAAAATGGAAAAAATTGTCCGTCTATCGGCAACGTATATAAAAGACGCCGTGAAGTTACACGCGGGAAACGGTCGATTAAAGGCTAATAGACACATAGCGTTGTTATAATTTCCGTCGCTCTACGACTGAAGCTGTACGTAAACAAATCTACGCGCGAGGCAATAATATTAATCGTACGGCAACGTGGTCAAACCGGCATCCACCACGACTGCGACCGGGAAGATACGCCGACGAGGAGGCGGAAACGTCGAGATTTCAGAACAGTACAGGAAATCTACGTTGTTCAGTTCGCGAGCGTGGGGGACAATGTCGGCGGCAAGATGTCGAAAACATCGATGAACGAGATTAATTAATGACGATGTGCGAGATGAGGATATCTCGCTCGAAGTGAACGGAGGCACGCTGAATACGTTGCAAACGGTTCAGCACAGAGGACGAGACAAAGTGCGCTCCGGCTGGCGACATTCGCGCGTAAAAAGCGCGGCAAAAATCCGCCGAACAATTAGCGGCGTCACAAAGGCGCAACAGAGGAGCGCGCGACCGGGAGAGCCCACAACGGACGCGAAGCAACGGACGTCGTATCGCGCGTGCGGACCCGGTCTTGTCGCTTGTCTACAGTGTGATTCAGAAAAGCAGGAAGGATAGCGAATCGACCGCGGTGCATACGACACACGAGTCGTACGGCCGCGAGTATCGCCGTGAGGTCGGGAAGACAAGTACAAGATGGCGGTTCGCCATAGTCAAGCCGAATGGCGTAGTTGGCTTCTCTTACCTTGACCTGCAGGCAGGAGCTGATCTTGAGATAAATCTGCCGTAGGTTACCCTCGCCCTCAAAAATCGGCACGGTAACGCGATCCTTCACGAGACACAGTCGACACACATCCATGTAGTCGAGGGAGGACATTTTACCATGTAAAACGCCAGCTCGGAGACGCAAAGCCGCGCCCGTGGACGCAAACGCCGTTTCGACCGAGGCAGAAGAGGGCAGCGCGTTGTTCGTTACGCGTCGCTCGCGCTATGCGTTTCGGTCGTACTCGGCGGCGCTTCGGCCGCTCTCGGAGCCCGCTCGGCCGCGCTCGGCGTTACTTCGGCCGGCTCCGCCGACGTATCGATTAGCTCGCAGCCGAAGCCAACCGCCTTCACACACGACAGTACCGAGCGCTACAAAAGGTTCTTTCCTTGAAACATGTCGTGCGGCGAATCGATCTGCGACGGCCCGATTTCCCGTCGAAATCGGACGCCGAGAGCTCGGACTGCCGACCAACTACGACGAGGGCTGTTCGCGAGGCCGACCGCACGATCGGGATTCATGGACGGCCTGAGCTCCTTCCCAACCGCAATTCCATATCCTCCGGACTATTATTACGGGTCTATCTAGCTCTTACGGAGCCGGTGAAGCTCAGCGTCGCTATGCGACCGAGCGTACGATGCCGGTTCCTTCGAATCATGGCGCGAGAATGGCGTCACCATCCGGATCGCAATTGAATTGTCGTTCGTTAGGATGCGTTCGAAAACTCTACTGGACAGGTAGAGTAGCGTTTAATTCAGGGTTATGTATGGCTAATATTAAATAATTATACAAAGACAAATTTCATACACAATCCAGTATAATTATACATGGTTATGTATATTTACATAGGATTATGTATGAAATACTTTCTAACGTGTTACCATATTATAAAAAATTAATAATGGATCTGGCGAGTTTGATTTTAAACTGATAAAAAGGAAAATTAATATTATGCATACAGACAGAAATGCTGAACATATTCAAACAACATAATGTCTAAAATTGGGACATAAAACGTCTGAAAGATAAGATGTATTAAAGATGCCTTTGAGACGTTTTACAAACGTTTTTAAAATGTTTTACCTACAAAGGTCTTTAAGACGTTTCACGTCCTGATTTTAGACGTCATGTTGTCTGGGACGATTCGTACAGCACAGTTGACAACATTGCAAACATGTTGCTGTAAGCTTTTGTGATATTGAGACTCGAAACTATCTCGGATAAACCGAAGCGACGTTTCTGCTTGTTTTTTACACCGATTATGGCAGACAATGGGGCTTGATAAATTCAAGTAATTTCGATATTCGGTATATCGTGCAAGCAAACAATGCGCAGATTGACGAAATTATCGTTTCACGGATAATTCTAACATATGCGCGATTGGTACGCTGATTTTGCAGATAGGAGGAGAGAGACAGAGCGAGAGAGAGACAGAGAGATAGATCGATAGATAGATAGAGAGAAAAGAGAGAGAACCGGCTCGGTCCCGTAGTTTCACTTTTGAGTTCCCGACGCGGCGGATTGATTGATCGGACAGGTGACTGGAAAAGGTCGCCCGAGTGAACGCTATGAAGTTTTCATGCTTAATTACTCCCACTTTAGTTGGATGTTCAACGACGCATGATCGAACCGTACATCTATCAGCAAACAACGGTGACGAGTGGCGAAGGGTGAGTACATCCTGGTTAAATCAATGAACGCGCAACGATTCATTCGCAGAAGAACACGTTCGCTTGGGGATTTTTAAACGACACTTCGCGGCGCTTCTAATCTCTTCTTGTTCGCTTTCGGCCAGTGATGTAATGAGATTTATGATACGGTACTGCATCAAATAAGTACAATAAGGGTTCCGGGGACAGAGAGGGGCCGCGATGTGAAGTCTCTTTGTCGTGGCGGCCGTTCAAACGACTTAAGCTGCCTTCACACCGATCGTCGGATCGACGGTCGAGCGCTACCTGAACGTTTTCGTATCGACACAGGCGACCCGACAGTGGACAGGATTATTTATCCCTTGAGAAAGGAACGTTCATTCAAACCGTCTGCTTTGCGTCTCATCGTGAGGCTACAATTTGTCACCCGACCGAGTAAAAACGAATAAGACCGGCCTTATCTTTGCCGCAGTGAAAGTTATCAATGACTTCTCATGTCCTTCTCTACGGTGCATCAATTGCGTTTAACCTCGGGGATGCTTGAAGTAAGACGCATTCATTCTTCATTACAATGATATAATTTTTTGAATACTTATTTGCATTCGCTTCGATTTTTATATTAGCAATTTAAAAATTATTGCATTCAACTTGCGATTACCGATTAAAGAATTATATAATTATATATATATAATGTTAGAAAATATTTTTGTTTGTTTCGACATCTACAACGAATAAGAACATATTTTTTTCTTTTATATCTGGAAAAAAATTTCTCATACATAGTTATGTTATATATTATTATATATAATTTTATATAAATATATAAATATACATGTATATATTATCATATATAACTGTATCATCACTTTATATATAATTATATCCAATTATATATAATTATACTTAATTATACTTGAAAAATTTCTTCCCTAGTAAATAATATGTATAATATTGAAATATTGTTTATTTAATTTATAAAGGAAAGTTGTTTAATTCATGCAATTCATTTAAATCGTGCCTCATCTTTTTTTTTAATTATTGGGTTTAATTTAAGCGCAAACCAGTAAATATATAAAATAAGTGAGCAATGGAAACATGACCAAAACTTGAACAAATTCCATTGTGTTTTCTATGTGATATAAACATCTTAAAAATACCTTAAATAATACAATGTTAGCAATTCGTCCCTACGCAGTGAAGAATTTTGCTACGAGATGAATGCACATAAAGTCACACCGTAGACAATAGATAAGGTATTCATCAGATTCTAGATGTACGGGAAAGGGAGATATTGCGGCACGTGTTTTAGATAAAAAAAACTGCTTTATTGTGGCAGAGCACATGTATCATCATATATCAGCATATAATTAGGAAGTCCATAGTAATTTACAAATTACGATCCACTTAAATGTCGTTACATATGGCGGTGTGTGCAGGCAGGGAATTTGAGAACCGATTCTGATCGCTCTCGCGTCTCGTCTTGAATTTTCGCCCTCGTTTTGTTCGTACTCTCCTTCAAACCTTTGAACGTTAATTACGTCTCGATCACGAGTGGCTTTCCGAAGGCCCTTGGAGGGTACGCTATTTATAATACACGAAAATAAGAGATATGTAGTCTCCTTTCTTTTGGTTGTCTTTTATCTTTTCATCGAAATGCCATAATTAGTCAAGGAACATCGTGTAAATGTCTCTTGTGTATTATAATATTATCTTGTGTATTATAATATTAAATATCGCAAATCATACTATTCTTGCCTTTCTGTTAGAGAGACAGCAAAAATGAAATCGCACATTTTGCTCTCGAAAGCGTCGTTTAATGTGTTTAATGGAAGAGATAGGCGATCGATTCTCTTACTACACGTTGAATAATTTACCCGAAAAAAAGTTCCCGAATGCAGTCCCTTACACAATGAATTAGTTTTGTTGGATTTCGTTCTTATCAGGAGATGTGGCCAATGAGATCGTCTGCAAACGAAATGACAAGCACGCGAACCGTATTATTAAATTTGGAAAGTACAATACTTGCGAGAATACTTCGCTCTCACATACTTATTTCTCGTGAACATCTCAATTTTTCCGCGGCTTAAGAGCCGCGCCAATTAATAATTCGATTAAGATCGCGACAAAACTGCGTTTTACTTCGATGCTTTTCTCTGTGAAGTTAATTAATGAATGAATTAATTAATTAATCGATTAATTAGTTTGTTAAATTCGTAACTATACACTTACATTTTACGCGCTATAACAATAATAGCAAAATTGCGTGAATGTTTGAATCTTTTTTTTCTTTTAATTCCATATCTCTTTGGTTTTTTTTTCATAATGTAAATTTACAGCTATTACAAGTATTATTGTTTATATTTGTTTAAGGTAACATTAATAGCAGACTCTTCGTGTCCGTTACCTACTAAATACAAAGTTAAAAATGCGCGAAGTTCAAATCTCTTTTTTTTTCTTTTTGTCTTGTTTTAATCTGCGAATGTGTGTCCCGCTCAGTGTATGCGCGTGCACATTTGCATATGCACGTTGCATGTGCATACAGTACATGTTAGATTTGCATGCGGCACTTGCCCGTGCCGTTGCTCCTTTTTGAATTATGCGGAGACCTAAATTAAAAGAACGAGTCGAAAGCTCCGAGCGGCATTAATAAGACATATATTGACGAAGAGACATATTTGACAAATATCGTATCGCATCGACAAAATTAATCAGTCATGACACACTTCGATAAGAAAAAAAAAAGAAAAATTATAAACTACACTGCACACGGGAGGTTTAGACCAGCGAAACATTAACGTTCGCCATGTTCTCACGTTTGTTTCCCCTTTTGTTTTTTACATATATATTTCTATTAGCGCGTTTTTTCTTTGCACGAGACGTCCTTTTAATTTTAGATATCCTGAAACTTTTTGAAGGCCGCTGATGTATCGTTTCGAAAATTTTCAAACCAATTCTAAACTAAAGACCGTAGTCTACCTAATAGAACCGATCGAATAAGTGTCATGTCCAAAATAAGCATTCTTGCACTCATCTGGAACGTAAGAGTGGCGCGCTCACGTGTATGTGTGTCTGTGTGTTTATGTGTGTGTGTATATATCTGTGCAATTGTTCCTGCCACAATTGTGCCGTGCGATCGTGATCCTGTTCCGTTACCACTTTGAGAAACTAAGAACATTGGTCGTGAAACGATCCATACAGCACAGAACGCACTTGTTACAATACTACGATATCGTGATGAAATATCTTAGCGATATTTTGACAACCTTTCCGCGCTATATGGAGGAAGTGCGCACATGTATGCAAGAATCTTTCAGACATTATCTTATCACGTTCTAATTAACTAGACTATAGTCTTGAAATGATCTCTTGTATCGTCGACGTTGGGATCAACTAATCTAGCATTGGTCGTAAAATCGTTTTTTTTTTTGATAATTTTAGCATATCTAATATACACTTCACGCTGATACGCTGTATCGATGAGATTCGTTTAGGAAGCTGAACGACAAAAAACATCAAGTGGGGAGAGGCTTCGAAAGTGAACGTAATCCTCTAGCAATTCGAACGAAGCGTGTGTCTCACTCTATATCGTACAATAATCCCTCGTACGTGAGGAGTGTCGAGTATGTTTCGATCTACTTCGACAACGTTCCAATCACCATTTTACCTTTTCTCAAGCGCGAGGTACGTCCGTCTGATACTCGCGATACACCGATGAATAAAATTCTCCGTGGACTCCGCTACGTAGGGATTATGTTACATGTGGGAATCTCTCTCTTGGGGAAATTACGTGGGTGGTAATCTAGTAGGATACTCGTCGTCGATCGTTTGAAATCCGGACCGCGTTGCCGATTATTATGTCGCTGCACGGCGTTGGAAATTGCCAAATTAGATACGAAGCAGACCGTCCCTCGAATACTCCTAGATAGAGAGAACTGCTTTATATATTACAATATATAATATTATACAATTAATAAAAAATCTCTCTCTCGCGGCAAACAGCGCCGCGCTTTTCACAATTTACAATTATTATCAATAGAAACTTCATATTCACTGTGTTTTATGGCCATTTATACTACAGTAATGCGTGAAATTATATTCCGGTTTCGTTCTCAGCACGGTGTAATCGATCGACTCGCGAATCAATTTCCTCGTGAAAATAGTGAAAAGTCACAGCAACGTTACTGTCCTATAAATTCACGAGCTGTTCGCCATGTTGCTACGTTATTATTATTAGTCGTTCTTATAATAAAAATTGCCAATTTTTCAATTTATTTTATTAGCATTTTCATACTTTTGTTTTTCTTCCTTCTTTCTTCTTCTTTTGTCAAAATAATACAAGTAACCGGCAATTGAAACATACGTAAGTGAAAAAATTATGGCACTGCGATATTTTGTTAACGGGAGAAATCATGTCCCTTCGGATGTCAAATTTTAAACAGATATCCTTAATCTTTAACAAATCGAAGGAAATAATTTCCTTCGATTTGTTAAAGATTAAGGATGTCCGTTATCAAGAGATAATAGATATTATCGATTACGCAAATACAGAATATCACAAATCAAATCACATTCTTTTCGTCCTTAAATTAAATTACTCGGTACCCTGACAAGGTAGCAGTTTAACGTCGTCTAATTTATCAATTAAGATCAAAAGAAAACGAAGAAATTGTCTTTTTGTCCAGCTAAATCTATAGCTTCGATATTATACAAGCTCAATTACTTTTTTTTTTCCTTTATCGAATGTTACAATAAATACAAAATATTATATGAAAGTGTATATAATTCTTGTATTATCTTAAGACGCTATAGTGTTCACCTGAGAATTAAAAAAATTGTATATCCGATTATTCAAAATTTTATTTACGTTACGTGAAGACTAGCAAAGTTCGATATAATTAACTACGAATTTATAAGAACAAATGGGGAAAATGCTGATCGTCCCGAATTGTAAAATACCTACTTCTTGTTGTTGTCCCGAGAAGGCTTTGTGATCGTTACTGTTATTTAGCGTAAACGAGTCCAAATGATGCGTCAAAAAAGGGGAGGCGAGGGAGGGGGACAGGGAGGGACGAATCAAATGAGAAGTTACATCAACACTATCGATTAATACGAGATGCATGGTTAATTATGCGCATATTCGCTTAATTCGTTCTCGTTAAATTTATCTTCTTGTGTTGCCCTCCTCGTCGTCGTCTCATAAAAATTCTTTACGATCTTTCACGCGATCGTCATTTAATACTACCTATATAATATATTACAGAATTAACTCTCATTTGCTTTTCTGTCCGCCGTAATTAACGATAATGAACGGGAGTAAGTTCTAGCGATTCTTATCGTCTGTTTTTTTTTGCCTCGTAGAATAAGGTATTCGTAAGTGAAACGGCGTAACTAATAAACGACCGGCAAGTACGGCTGTCTCGTCTGTAATCACACTCGCTGTCGCAGAGGTGAGGGAGATATAGCTTCATGTTGAAATTTCCGACGTGCGTCCGGTGAGCGGATATCTCATCACGCTAATTGGTGGTCATAATGCCGAGAAGAAATCATGATCACGTATCGCGGTTTCTTAAATCTGTCGATCGCATGTACATGATCCTATATAAATTACATTTGGTCGTGATGAACGTGTCAGTAGATTTAAGTGTTCGAAGCCGTCGATGTTCGATCTACACAGATTCTCCTTTTCTTCTTTTTCTTTTTTTCCCTTTTTAATATATCGATCGTGCATCGCAATTGCGAGAAGGCGACGCGAATAAATCTGCGTACGACTCGAACGGCGAAACGCTCTTACGGGAGAGGCCCGCGCCGTACCCGCCGACGTTCTTTCCCTCTCTCGTGGAGACGACGGGTTGGATAAAGAAACGTCCTTCTACTTACGCTATTCGTACAATGTGCAATCCAGTATACGTCTTAAAAATATCCGAATAGACTCTACTTTTCGATAAAAGGCAAGAGAATTGTTCCGCTCGTGTTCACCTATATTATGATAACGCATCTACCGGAATACGTACGTCGTGCTTCGATGGATTGACTCTTCGTAGGTAAACTGTAAACGATCAATTCGGGGGGAACGAATTCGTCGATATTCTCCTCGCGTAAATCTATCTCTGTAATCTCTCCTATCGTCATCGGCAGAGCGCTTCTGCTTGGAGAGACCTACGGCAGCTAGAGTCTACAGATCTATGTAGCTGTGGCCACTTCGCGACAATCTCCGATCTGTGTGTACTTAAATAATAATAAATGGAAAATCGAAATTTCAAATACATATATATGTATATATATATATATATATATATATATATATATATACATGTATATATATTCGTAAATTCCCGTATGATAGTAATATGACATATCTTACAAGTATGTATTATACACATCCGTAAGATTCTCTCTCGGAACGCCTCATGTCGTATATCTAAGTGTGTCGTAATATATCTATATTTTATATTATATACAAATTGTAAAATGTGTTTTCTTAATGAAAAAGTCCCGTGTCGGTTTGTGTATATCCTCTTTATCTCTTCTTTAGTATGTATTTATATATCTCTTTTATATTTCTCTCTCTCACTCTTTCTCTTTCACTCTCCTTTTCTTTCTTTCTTTCTCTCTCTCTCTCTCTCTCTCTCTCTCTTCTCTCCCGTGTGAGAACATGAAACGTAGTAGATGTAAATTTAGCACTTGCAATCGCATTCTCACATTTTCGCACTCCCGGTTCTTTCATACAGACGCACATTCGCACTCCCACGCGCGTTCGTTCGCTCACATTCACTCGAACGGTCGCGCCTCGTATTCGCTTCTTTTCGTCCTTCTTGTTCGCCTGCTTCATTTTTTCTCGCATCTCTCGGCTGCAAGTCGCATAATCGCACAGTCCTTTTGTACACTCGCGCAACTCTCCTCGAGGTCGGCTTGCTCTTTAAAAGTGTTCGCGCAACACGATTCCACGATTTTCATCTCGTTATACTCTAAGGAATCTCCTCTGTAACAATATCAGGAAACAAATGCAAGGTTCGTATCATCAGAATTGTCTTCAATTGGCGCGATCACCATTCTTCGCAAATATACAATGTGATACAACTTTATTGAGACAAATTCCCGAACAAAAAAGAAACGCGCGACAGCCTGTGTCATCAATTTCGTACGACGGACATTCCGACATACACAAACGTCCATAACGTTCTTCTCTCCTCCTCAGATAAAATAATTCCAGCTGCATAGAGTTAAACGACCTAGCTATAAACTACGAATACAATCCGATGTCATTATTATCACACACACAGAATCTCGTCGCACTTGGCGATACCGCCATTTACGGGCAATACCAGAACGGAACATCTCGTCTTGACTGACGGGCGATTAATTCTTGTCGCCCGCTCGACGGTGCAAAAATCCCTCACAATCAGACGCACCTTAATACTGTCCGTTAATTCTGAACGTTAACGAATCCAGACGATGGCGACGAACAGAAGGACCTATGGCACACCCGTTGAAGGACATTCGGCGCCGTCACTACTCCCGGAAACTCCGCTCGACGTTGAACGGCTCGGCTTCAATAGCAATTCCAAACCGATCCCGATTGCCTGCAGAAATGTTCACTCTCGTTCCACGAGAACGGAAAGATAGGAGACGAGGGAGAGGAAAAGCGCGAAAAGACGATAGAAAGAAAGACAGATCGAGAGAGGAGAGAGAGAGAGAGAGAGAAGAAGAACTCGTGGCGGTGATAACAGCGTCTCGCGACGACGATTAAAATTCGTTGAAGTAGCGACGGAGGCTGCAGGGGGCGGGCAGAGAAGATACTCTCTCAGACGGACACCCGCCGCGGCTGCAACTGATGCTGGTGATGGTAATATCGCTCGTCCTCGTCGAGCTCCAGCATCAGGCTCCGCGCGTTCGAGCAACGTCAAATGCTGGCGCGATGCTGATGCAGCGGCGGCAGTTGCAGGAGAGGCGTGAGCGGCGCTGGGCGCAGCTCGTCGTCGCCGTGCACATTCAACGCCGACAGCTGTTGCATCTGCAGCAGGTGCGAGATCGTGCCGGGCGAGCGGCGGACCGTGAAGCGCGGTCTCCGTCGTCTCCTCGAGAAGCCGTTGCAACGGCAACTGCACACCGACGCCTGGTCGTCCAACGAGATCACGTCGCCCTGATTGCCGATCTGACCGGACAGTATCGAGCCGTTCGCCGTTATCACATCGCCCTCGAGGCGTACCGCGCCTTGAGCCGCCTGCGAAGAGAAGATTCAGAATTCAAAAGGCGGAACATGTCTAGGCGCGACGTTGACTGATAATAAGCAGGATATCCTGGGTAACACATATATGTTTGAGAAACGTTTTATAAGCGAAATTTCCGGAATGTTTTATAACCGATGTCGTGATACCGAGGCAGTAGCTTCGCTGCCGGTCCAAATGAATTTTCCGAATCGTCTTGAGTGGAATTTCATTCCAAGAAATCTCGAGAGTATGTATGTAAATAATATCCTTACCTGTAACGCTTCAGCTTCGTCCCGTCTCTCGTCCTCCGTGTTCATCGTCACGAATCTCAGGACCAAGAGATTCAACGAAGCCGCCACGATCGCCAAACCGAAGAGGATGAATATTAGGGCGAACATCACGTACTCGGGTTTCTTGTTCAGCGCGTTATCCTTCTGCAGCGCTACCATGTCGCCGAAGCCGATGGTCGTCAGAGTGATAAAGCAATAGTAAATGGAATCGAAGTAGGTCCACCCTTCGTATCTGGAGAACGCGGCGGCACCACCGGCGATGGTAAAGCACGACAGAGTCGTCACCACGCAGATGAGATTGATCTCCGAGGCCTGCCACACGAAGAGAATCGGCGTATCAATTCCACCACCGTCGACTTGATCGATCGGTTATCGCGCGGCCCTTCGCTAATTTTGATCGCGCGACTCGCACGGGCACGGCTTATAAATATACGGATGCGTGTTAATTCCGTTCGAGTCGCACGCGGAATATGATCGACGAGGTGCGCGCACCTCGTTCGACTAAGCCATTGTTACCTGGACGTCCTTGCAGTTTAGAAGCCGCTTTACGTTCCGTATCACGACGGACGAAAACTTATTCAAGCGTTCTCCTATGCTCTGGAACATTACGAGTCCTAATGGGATACCGACAATCGCATAGAACATCGTGAACAGTTTGCCGCTTATGGTATTTGGCGTCGAGTGTCCGTAACCTGGAAGATGCAATGTGCGATTGAACATTAGGAATTTCCCACCCTCGGCCTAGATTGAAGAATCGTCCGACCAATGTGAGTACGAAATAGCAGTGGGGACGAAATTTTAATGCGATAAATAGGAAGAAAGTGACTCGACATTTGGCGGAGACAATTGGACTGCACGCACCTATCGTGGTGAGGACCGTTGTGGCATAGTAAAACGCGCCGGCGAACTTCCACTGTTGGCCAGCCTTGTGAGGTTCCGTCTTCAGCACCACTGTTTCCATGATCTTGAAGTCGTCCTCGCTTATATTATATTTTCGTATGACCATTTTTTCAATGGCTGCGAACAGAACCAGTGCGACGACGCGCTATACAACTCCCATTCCGATCGGAGAAGTCATATGTGCACACACTCATGCGCATGCTGCTGCTCGCCGATGCCGATCTCGCTCGTGAAGGACAGATGAATATCACTCGTAGCTAAATAAAATAACTAACGACCTCTGAACTTTTCAGAGTGTAGTTTCATGTCCGCTAAGAGATGCCCGGGTTGGAGGAGGCGCGACGATAACTCGATACTTTTAATGAAATTATTATATGTCATGCACGTAGAATCGCTTTCAACCAGAAACAAAAGGCCAGGCTCGTTTTTGTTGGAAAAAAAGGTAAGAAAAATAGGTACGAGGCAGGAGAACCGTTATTGCTTTCTTTCTCTCTTTCTTTCGCCAGCCTTCAGAATTTATAAGGCTTGCGAGAGAACGTATTTATCAAGCGCTTCAAGCCATCAGCGAGACGATACTACCGTCGTTACGTTGTAAGAAGATCGTTTCACTTCGACGATAGTGTGGTGACTTCTTGTATCACATATATAACGTGTATGGCTCGTACAAATACCGTTCTCGTCGCGCACACGATTACAGATTATGTTACACAATGCTATCTAGCGTTCCTCTCACTCGCATCTAAGTAATCTACACAGAGTGACAGCAAAAAGGCTTTTCCGCCGGGGACAACATGGATATTTAAGGGATGTCGTGAAATATTGTTCTCATATTATATATTGGGTCGATGCAAAAGTTCGTTCCGTTTTTAATCTCCAAATGTACGTCTGACATTTATTTATTTTAAAATACGATCAATCTCAATTAAATATGCGCCGTTTTGTTCGATGACTTGCCATCTCTCCGATAGCTACGTAATCTCACGCTCGTCGAAATTCTGGGATTTTTTAGCGAAGAACTAATTAAACGGAACGACCAATCCAATATGTGAATCTTTTTGTTGGATATCCAAAGTGATGTGATAATGGAAATAAAAACTAATAACATACTATAATACCAATACTTGAAAATATCGGTGATATAGAAAATAGTAAAAGAAAAGTTTTCGTAATATTTTATAAATGCATCCAACCGATATACCCTCTAATAATTACCAAAATAATTATGCAAAACCGTAATAAAAACTAAGTGATTTATCAGTCACGATGTTTTGCAATGCATGCGCTCGCCAATCACCTACCGTCCAATGCTTCCTTGCGTAATTTCTCCGTCTCGGACTCGAGTACGTCGAAGATAGCAGCACCGACGAGGAGATAGGTAAACGTGAACACGATTAATGATAGGGTCCGGACGTTTTGCTTCTTCATTCTCTAGTGAGCCACATGCTCACTAGCAGGGCCCCGGCCCTAACTACTTGCATCGCTCAGTGGGGTACGATTTGGCTTGTCGGGCCCATGACGACCCCTTCTTCTGTTGCTCGACTCTGCCCGGGGGGTCCCTCTTCTCTTTCTGACCGAACGCTACAGACCTGGCACGCGACTTTTCGTCCTCAGGATGTCGCTTTCCTTGCCGTAGCAGTCGTGCAACCGTTTCCGTTCATCTGAAACTTCCGCACATATACGCACCTGATGGAAGTTAACAAGGATTAGCTCTCAGAATTGCAAACATTTTATTGTATCTGGGTAATTTAAGTTATCAAAGTTTGACATTAGGCCGATTCTTCATTCTTCAAGGGTATCCCCTTAGCTCACTCAAACTCGATCGTTAGAATGCACGGCGAATCGTCGGCAGGATCGTCGGTTGGAAAACGAGCTTCCGCCAAAGCGACTGATAAGACAGTAACAAGAGCATCGAATCGATTTTATGACACGCGAAAGGGAGCCGATTATATGGACGAAATGGACAGGTCTGACGGAACTTGGCGTTATTTTTAAAGATGTAGGTCACTTAAAAAGGGATAATCGCGAGTCGGCTAGATCGATTTCGCGCGGCCAAGTCCTTTTCCCGCGGACATTCTCGGGATCTTTCCACCGGCTCGAAATTAAGACGTAGATGCGCGATACCGCGAGATATAATCGTCCTGGCGACTCAGCGAGATGACCTATTTTGAGATTCTTCTTCTTTTGCCTCATCGGCGAGGAGCGAGATCGAGCCGTTTCCACGATGAAGATCGACCGTGCGAGAGAGAAATGTGCTGATTTAGTGGAAGGGCTCACCTGCAGTCTGTTCCGGGTTCTCCTTTAGGTACGACAAAGAGTTGAGCAGAATGATATGGCAGTGCTTTCGCTGCTCCCACTGCCACGTTCCCTCCATTCCTCGGCTTAGCACCCTTACGCTTTCGGAACCGACTATGTGAACGGACAGAGGGAGAGAAAAAGAGAAAAAATCAGGGTTACGCATACATTTTGAGATTACGTCTACATGGATAATCTACGTATTTTTTACATAAATGCTTACACGGGCTTTTTTCATGTTCACTATTATATTATATTTTACTACTACACTATTATATTTTACGCGTAAACACGCAATTCTGGAAAAAATGAAAGGGATAGAATTCCGATGAGTGACGGGATGCGTTTTCGCGAGGGAGCCGGCGGTTAGCCGGCCGTGATGCATTGCGAAACAATGCCGGACGGAATTTGTTTCGTCGATATTATTTCGCACTTAGGATAATCCGCAAACGTATGTTCTCGCGCTCCCGTCGAAAGGCGGGTTCCGCGCGATCCAGCAACGCCATTCACGAGAATGTCAAATCGATTTTGTATTTGCAGAGAACGCTCGCGGATAAAAAGAAGTATACGTGTCTCACATTCTCGAATCGACTCGCTATATTTAACGAATGGAACGAAAAACGGGGGACCGTCCTTACTGACCGAGATTTCATTGCCAAGTTAAACGCGGCACCGTCCATCCATGGAAGACAACTCAGATGAGATTCTGGAAACTGAGAAGAAAAAAAGTGTCTCTCGCGTTACAGTGTAACTCGTCGAATAATCGTCAAATAATAATCGGCGAATCAGAACGTGTGTCATTATCGATTCGCTTCTCGGCGGTCTCCCTTGCATGAATAATATATCCGTTATATCCGCAATATTATATTATATTATTTACTCATCATCGCGCGCTCTGGCAACACATTAAATTTTAATTTACGCAAACACACGCACACGTCGGATGCCACGTAATACTTGGTTGCCGTACGCAAATTATACCACGTATAGTCTCGCGTATCTCGGATACAATTAATCGCGATCATTCGTGTAACTATGACTGCAGGCATAAAGTGAGAGTCAAGTCGTGGCAAAATTCACACTCGGGGCATAATGCAGCAGATAACTGATTAGCAGAAAAATTGTACTCTGGATCGAAAGCATCCAATTCCAGTTAATTTTGTGACGTTGGCCACACACAAATATAACAATTAAAATTAAGAAAGAACTTGATATTTGAGACTTTCGTGATATGGAGAAAAGGGAATGTCTTCAAATCATCACTTTTAAAGCTAATTTTTTTATTTTCAAATGGTATATATGACAATCCTGTAATAATTCATGAATGAGACATATGTTTATTTTAATTTTCTATGGGAAGATAGAGACTATTTCTAATCTTTTTGTTATAACATTCTTTACTTCGAGATCGTCAAAAACGTTTAATAATATAAATTAAAAAAGAATCTCAGTTTTTCTAAGTATGAAACATAAAATAAGAAATTATAGTAAAAATATGTTCTGTTGTTTTATTTTCATACTTTGTTAATTTATAAAAATAAAATATTAATTTATAAAATATAATCTATATATTTATTGAACTAGAGCTAATTGTTTTTCTTGCCATTTTCTGCTTCAACACGTAAGTATAAATAGGGAAAATTAAATTTAAATTCTAAAAGAGGATACAACTTATGATACGAAATTTGTTGACCAATAATTGATCCGTAGAATTATTCAGCTTGCAAATCCGTGACTTTGAAATTTCTGGCATTATAAAGAATAGATTCAAAATATATCTTTCCATAACTATGCTTTATTAAATATAGTATCAGTTTGGTTATTAATTTTCCTAACTTGGTTGTGTAAAACAACTTCACAACTAAATTATGGAATTTAACATGGAATTTTCTAACAGTGTAATATCTCTAGATTCCATTAATCCTTCCGTTAATCCATAAAGTATCGACGACACTTGCAGAATTAATGTAGAAGCAGAATTTCGAATCGCGATGCGCTGAATTTTGCAAAGGGGCGGCTTGTACGATCGCGCGTCTAATCCCGCTGCGATCTAATTCGTTTCCTTGACAGCACGTAGTTCGGCGAACTTTCGGTTAGCAGTGCTGCAGTCTCTTAGCCGTCTCATAAAACTTGAAGCACCGACATACGTGTTACGAGTATGTTTGCGCTGCTTCCAAGATAGACGAGATTTGGAGCTCGCGCGAATTTTTAGGTCAACTTACAGCTGCGTTAGAAACAAATTCATGCGCGAATATATTGTTGATTGAATACCTGACAGTCCCGAATTGAGGATCGTTAAGTTTGCATCGAGTTGAATATGTAGGTTTTGCGACTATTCTGCAAGCGTCAATCCTCAAACATCTTGAAAAGTAGTTATTTGCAAGGAAATATGTAGACATTTTCATAAGACTATCATATATTTTGGTAGAGAAGTGTTAGCATCTATGCACATAAATTTTAATTTTACACCTTCAACAGGACTTTAGAACCCGAAAACAAAATGATATATCAGTTTTAGAATTCTTTTCTTCTATACTATATTAATCATTAAACTCCGGGCCTCTTGGAAGCAAAACAATCGCTGTGTACGACCCGAAGCTGGCGTTAATTGTTAAGATGCAGCACTTTCGCGCGTTAGGATGTTAACAAATGAAAACGCCTTCAGGCGCTGTTCGCACAGAGTGAAAATTTTCGTCATCTGGCATGGTTCGCACTCCAAAGGTTAAATATAAATCTATATTCATGCGTCAAGCTTCCTTCGTCTTCACTTCCCGATTCTGCTTTCAACTGCTCCGTTATGGCGCTCCGAATACTATAGTTCACTCTTTAAGAGGGTATTCTAGTCTAGACACCTGTTCTTAAGCTGATTTTTGGGAATTAAAATGAGAAAAAAAATTAAAGCTACAGAGTTGAAGTTTTATATGGAATTATTTTTCTCCTTGTAAGCTTTTGATAAGATTCTTCAAAAAAATTATTATTTTTAGATTTTATTATATTGACTTTCGTATTGCAAGAATTGTAAAAATTCCTCTCAAGATATAATATTGTTTATGAAATATATAGTTTTTAAGCCTGGTAAAAGGTGCAAATCGCGTAGTTAGCAATATGTTACAAATGTTAACAAATAAGGGCATCTAAAGGTGCTGCCCGCACATAACGAGTGTTGAGCGTCGGATGCTTTTAGGCGTTATTCACCCTTTAAGGGTTACCGAGAAGGGTGATAAACGGAAGAAGAAGACGAAAAAAGGGGAAAAGGGAAGCGAAGTGGGAGAGGAAGGAGATGACTCTGGAGAAGAGTATCTGGCAGTGAAGCTCGAGGGTAGCCATCATCCAATTTCAGATAAGCTGTGGCAATTTCGAAAGTAGCGAGCTCGGCAACGACGAGTCAAATCAAATCCTGCTTCTCCTTCCTCCCTTTCTCTCTCTCTCTCTCTCTCTCTCCCCCTCTCTCGTAATTTAAATTAACACTTGCACGATGGTCGGTTGGATTGGCGGGCTGTGTTTTATTGAATTTATGATAAATTACTTTCGAAACCTCCACTTGCGCGGTAAGGGTAACACAGACGAGAGGCGACGGTTGAAGAGAAGAGAGAGGAGAGGAGAGGAGAATGCCATCTCCTCACTCGGCACCCGTGGAAGAAAAGGTCGCGAAAATCCCTTCGTAAATCAAGGTAACGAGCGTGATTACGATCGGGGCGATTCCTTTTGCCGCACACACGAGGGGGAGAATCTGTTGAATACATTTGAAACTAATGCTTGCGATACGCGCACGTGCGGCGTTAGTCCCACGTAATGATCGATGAGTGTACAAATCTGCCGACGGAGGAGAGGGCGGTCGGCATTTGCATGTGTTGCGAGCACCCCTATCTCGCATCTCATTTTGTCGTTCTTGTCGGTTTCGAGCAGACGGCAGATCGAATCGTTCGTAATTGACGACATAATTCTTACGTGAACTGTGGGATATGTTTTAACGCTCTCAGGAGAGACCAATATCGTATGTCACATGTGTGTGTGTGTGTGTGTGTGTGTGACGCAATAATTTTTCATTCTATGTCCACGTAAACAAATGAAACGTCTTATCGAACGTGTTAAAGAGCAAAATTCTTTATGGATGAGTTTGTTCAGTTTCCGCGAGATTTTCGATTTCCTCCATCGACGAGTCGTTTGCTCATGAGAGAAAGTTAGACGCATCTTTCGCGAAGGATATCACAGGATATCTTACTTATATACAGAGTAGCGGTTCTTATAGCGGTAAGCCAGCATACTGCTTTGTATGTAAGTGAGACACCCTATGTATGTCTCGGGATACTAGACTGGTCGCAAAGGTCGGAAAGCGGTCGAGAGGACCGTCGCTTTGAGGATAGGCACGTCGCAATTCTGAGCTATCTACTCATTGTTCCATGATATCGGATCTTCATTGTTGTAGCCTTGGATAGGTCATGAGTTTAATAACATCGGTTAGCGCCGTACTGCCGGCACGCTGCTCCCTAATATCGATTATTATGTGCTCGATCCCGTAAGGGGTTGTTGTTGCGATAGCGGCTTATTTGCTCCACTGAATTAGCGAGAACAATAAGCCGTGGCGCCGGCTAAAGGACGACGCCGCGATCATCGCCTACGCGAACGACTCGCACCTTCTTTCACCGGGGTCGAGGAATTTCCTCGGCGACGATCTTCTGTTAACAACGTACGACAGACAGGTCCCTCGAAACTCGTTATGCGCGATTTCACACGATCGCATACTCGTTCAACGCGTTATAGTTTATTCCTATTTTAATTCTGATGATGTCTCAAGTTTCCGTTTTCACTGTTTTAGCGGCAAAATAGGTTATCACAGATAGCACATTAAAATTAAATCTATTAATTAAAGATTCTGAATAGAGAAGATAAAAGTATCAATAGCCAAATAGGTTTTTACTTTATAGCCATCCAAGTCAGCACAAACTGTCTATTAACAGCGCCAAAGTAGCGTCGAAATTTCGACTCGGAATATATGTACGATCAGTTTTATTGTGATTTATTCCACTTTCGCTGGGAATATTCCTGAAGATGCATAAACATAAAAACATTCACGGGCGGCATAATAGCGCCATTCATTTTTTGCGCCCGGATAA